TAGTCCGAGCTTATTCTTATTGACTTTCCTTTGTAGATGACTTTTTGTTTATCCCTAGCTGCTCTTAAAATTCTCTATCTTTGGTTTTGGCAAGTTTGATTATAATATGTCTTTGTGACTTTCTTTTGGGATCTACCTTATGTGGGGTTCGATGAGCATCTTGGATAGATATCTTGTCATCTTTGACGATATCAGGGAAGTTTTCTGCCAAGAAATCTTCAACAATTCTGTCTGTATTTTTCTGTTATTTCCCTGTTCTGGTACGCCAGTCACTAGTAGGTTATTCCTCTTGATAGAATCCCACATAATTCTCAGGGTTTTTTCATTTTTTTTTAATCCTTTTATCTTATGTTTCCTCAATTAAGTTGGTGTCAAGTGCTTTATCTTCAATTTCACCAATTCTGAATTCCTTTGCCCAATTCTGTTTCTATGATTTTCTATTGTCTAATTCTGAAATTTTATTGTTAATTTTCTGGATTTCTGATTGCTGTCTCTCTATGGATTCTTGCAGCCTGTTAAATTTGTCATTACTCTCTTCTCTAATCTTCTTAAGTTCCTCTATTGCTAGATCTGCACTTTCTCTCATCTCCTTCCTGATCTCTTGAAGAGTTCTGTATATTAATCTTTTGTATTCTGCCTCTGGTAATTACAAGAAATTCTCTTCCTCCAGAAAATTCCTTGATTCTTTATTTTGGGAGCTTGCTGAATCCATCATGGTCTGCCTCTTTATGTGATTTGATATTGACTGTTGTCTTGCAGCCATCAATAAGTTATTATATTTATTTATTTTATGCTTGCTTACTGGCCGTAGCTTTTTGTTTTGTTTTGATATGCCTAAATAGGCTGCTCGTATGAGCTAGTTTGATTATTGGCACCTTTGAAACCCTAATGTTCTGTCACCAGGTGGCTGGACTTGTCACTAAGTATGTGAGCCTAGGATTCCACCCACTCTTCCTGTATGGATTCAGCTTAGCTGTCCAAGTAGTCAGCCACCAAGTGTGTGGTGCAGGCTCTCACCTACAGTTGTAGACAGACATAGGTGTTTGGTGTAGGCACAGGCATCTAGCTGCAGTAGGGGGGTCACACACTGAGCAAAGCAGGGGGTCAACGGCCACCCGAGTGTCTGGGAAGAAAGCATGCCCTTGTTCCGTAGGGCACTTAGGTGGATGGGTTTTGCAGCCAGACTATGAGCACCCAGTGCTGTTGGCTATAAGGACTGGGGGGCACCATTTATTCTTGGGTCCCTGTTGCAGGTGGCTCGGTGGTGTGGGTGGAGCCACCAGTCTTCAGGCCCCTGATGTGGGTAGGTGAAGACCCTGCTTAATAGGCAGAGCAGTGTCAAATGTCAGTGACCTGCCAATTCACAGCCGAAACAGTTGAAGTTAGACTTCACGTATATATCCTGTTGTACTGTGGTAACAAGGGCCTATGCTGTTGAAACCCCACACAAGTCTATGCAGGAGGAAAGGTACTCAAAGTCTGTGGCTCCCTTATGCCTGTGCCTAGGCAAAGGAGCTATGCCTATCCTGAGTTTCTGGCTTAGAGGAGCTGGCAGATTATTTTTTCCCTGTTTGTTAATTTGTTCACTCTCCAAGGCTGTGAGAATGGCTCAGGGCAGCCCAGGTGACTTAGCAATTGCTGAAGCCAGTCCCAGACCCAGTGCAGAGCAGGGAGCAGGCAGGTAAATGGGAGAGAAGTTTTTCCCAAACGGGGGTGTTTCTGATCCGTGTGATAGGCCAGACACAAGTACTTATCTTTTGCTGATCGAGGGCTGCTTCTCATTGGTTCTGGATGGCTGAGTAGACTCTCTGCCACTGGGTACCTCCCGGTGTGGAAAATGCCTCCCAAGTGCTGTTGCTTGCCTGCCTCACTGTACACCACGAGCTGATCTGGGCTGAAAGGTTCAGGCTCTCACCAGGTCAGGTCTGCCAACTCCTCGCTGCTTCCAAATTCTGTCCCCCCCACCCCCCCACCACTCAGTCCGATTCCTCAACTTTGCCTTTGATGTTCAGGGCTCCTAGATTGTCATGTATAAGCTATTCGCTTGTTTTTTCAGGTCTTTGTTGTAAGAGGGACCACTGAAAGCATCTGACTGCTCCACCATCTTGGCCCTGTCCCCCTCTTTAAAGTTTTTTAAAATAATATTTACTGTGTTTTTGGTGAAAGTTTACACAGTAGATTAGTTTCCCATTTGACAATTTATATACATATTTTTCAGTAATATTAGTTACATTTTTCACAATGTGTCAACATCCTCTTTAATTGTGTTCTAGTTGTTCTGTTTCCAGTACTCTAGTTTCCTTGCCCCTTATCTTCTCGTCTTTGCTTTAGAGAAATTTGTGACCTTTCATGCTCATATAGTTTTTTAGTAAAGCAATGTACTTACAATTTACATTCTTTGTGTACCACTCTGTTACTTCACTAAACACTATTTACATTAAAAAAAAAAAAGCCAAAATAAGATGAAATGGGTTTTGGGTTTTTGTTTGTTTTAAAAGGGAGTGGGTTCATTGCATGCACAACATTTGAGATACACACCACACTCAAACAGATACACAGGACTTCAATCATATCATGGCAGACACCAAGGCTATCAGCTGCACTTTCACCGGGCGACACAGTGAAAGTCTAGGAAGAATTTTAAGTTATATTTCTCTTACCCCTTGTTTTCATTCCTAAATCATTCTAGACAAGTAAGGATTTAATCTCCTCCATTTTTTCTTAAACCAGGAAAACACATTTTTATAATCGCCCCATAGCCTATATCAATGTTTATCAATCATCATTTAATTTGAAATAAAAGCACCATCATACTCTTATCAATAGAGGCATGATGTTTTCAGTATGCTGTCCAGGAAATTTAGGCTGGGTTTATCTCCACTGGTGCAGCCTTGGTTCAGCTATTTTAATACAAATGTTTCCCAATCCAGAAAGTGTAAAAAAAAAAATTATTATAATTCTCTTCACAAAATAAAAAAAGCTGAAATACTTTTTTTTTGTTTTTGTTTTTACACTTATGCTATCTGTCAATAATCTCATAAAAATAAAGAAACGACTATTCTCTCTTGGAACTTACCTGGATATATAGTTCTGGGAAGATGAGGTCTGGGTGGTGTCTTGCAATATATACTATTTTCTGTGACATTCAAAATATCACAGGCCTGACCTATAGAGAAGCAAGATGGAGAGCTGTTAGTACTCAGGCTTCATGATGCAAACTGCACCAGCCTATCTTGAAGTACTTTTTCAATGAAAACAAAGCTGCACAAGCAAGAGGGATGTTGGGGACTCTTCATTTCCTTTTCATTCTCCCATTAAAGTGTGTCACTCACTATCATACTTCCACAAGGCAACATTTTCCTGGCAAAATATCACAAGTATGAAATAAACAATTTCACCATTTCTGAGAAAATAAAATTAAAACAAAAAAAACAAGATAAACTATGTCATTATAAAATATTTCACTCTTGGGTCCAAAGTCAAACCTTATATTTTATTCCCTGAAGAAAAACTGCTGACCAAACCCACTGAGTTTAAAATTTTCCAGTCCTTTTAGGTAAGAAAATCATGGTTTAATCCAAATTGTTCAAATGAAAACAAATGGGCTAATAACTTTTAAATGGCATTTCCACAGGTAAAATAAAACCAAAATAGAAGTGGATTTAAAAGAGAGCAATAATAACCTATACTTAAGCCCAAGTAGACTTGAGGGAGGTCCATGCTTTAGACCTCTATGTATCCCTCACAGTTCCTTACTCAGTAGTATCTACTGAAATGGCAGTCACAACCCACAAAAAGTGAGGGCAAGAAAAATGGAGAGAGGTATCTTTGCCAAATTTTGTTTGGTGGCCCAGAAAATTTAAACTTTCCACGCTACAGTTCTTTATTTTGAATGCTGTGTGGCTACAAGAGAACTGAACTAGAAAAGTAAACACAGTATATTAGACCAACTTAGCCCATTTTCTTTGAACTAAAGAGACATAAGCAGATGACTGTTTTCAAGGAATCAGTGAAGATTCAAAACCTTTAATCTGTTGCCACATTACAAGGCATGAAATGACAGCAAGTGAATGTGCTATCTGTATCACAGTCAAAATAAGCATAATATCAGAACATAAAATGTATCTGTAAAAATGGGGTTTGGGGGCATCGGAACTCCTCCTCGTCTAACTTCACAAGGGGAAAGAGTGAGAACCACTATCAATAGCCCAAGACTGATTCCTATGAGGTAGAGGTCACACATACCTCCACCCTCCACCTTGTTTTTTTTTTACCAATTCTGACACCATCCATCTCTCCCTTGGCACTTTCTACTTCTCTGCTGGGTTTGATAATTCATTGCAAAGGCCACATGGAAGTCAAGATCATTCTTACAGTTATGGGGTTCATTAGGGAGGTAATAGGTTACACTTCAGGGTCAGAGACAACTCAGGATACAGTTCTTCAATCAGGACAGCTTCTTAGCTATACCCACAGGCAGGCCTCTCTCTGTGGCCCTCAGCCTCTCAGTCCCTCAGCTCCTTGGCCCGGACTCTGCCCTGCTTGGGCAAGTGTTATTAAGTTCTTTAGCTCTACTGATAAGTACCCAGAGGCACCCTACTCTGCCAGTAAGCCTCAGCTCGAAGGCACTCAACTCTCTAGCTCCATGGGTCAGCAAGCCTAGCTCTGCCAACAAGTGTCTTGAGGCAACCCACTCCTCCAGCAAGCCTCCTATCTGAAAAAGCTCAGCTTTCTTGCTCTATAGGCAGGGAAGCCCACTGTGCCATCTCTGCTGGTCTCCTGCTTCTGCAGCCTCTGCTGCTGCCATTTCTCTGCTGCTGCTTCTTGCCGTCTCTCACTGCCTAAACTAAAAATATTTTATGTCTCTGGTTTTAATATTTAAAACATAGTATCAAATCACAATAACATATTATACACATTTAAAAATCTTATGGCCCAGGCCTTCACCAGACTGAGTCCAGTACAGCTATATACAAGGCACATTTCATACAGTGAAAATTACTCACGTTCTCACCACGGAATATATCTCTTGCTACAGTTCTTATTTGAAATTAAATTCATTTTAAGTGAGAAATAAATCCATATTTTAACCATTACAAATTTTCAGTATAAAAATAAACTAATATTTTCTGTCTTCCCAGGGAGAATTTATATGTATAAAGAATAATCAGCCTAAATATATGAATTAGGGGGAAACTAAATAGACAATAGATAAGCGGTAATTTTGGTGAAGGGTAAGACAGTACACAGTACTGGGGAAGCCAGCACAACTTGTACAGGGAAAGGTCATGGAAACTCAACAGACACATACAAACTCCCTGAGGGACTGAATTGCTGGGTGGAGGGCTATGGAGACCATGGTCTTGGGGAACATCTAGCTCAATTGGCATAACACTGTTTATAAACAAAATGTTCTACATTCTACCTTGATGAGTAGCATCTGGGGTCTTAAACGCCAGTGAGCAGCCATCTAAGATACTCCACTGGTCTCACCCCTTCGGGAGCAAGGGAGAATGAAGAGAACAGGTTACAAGGAAAAGACTAGTCCAAAGGACTAATGGACCACAGATACCAAGGCGTCCCTCTACCAGACTGAGTCTAATACAGCTAGATGGTGACCGGCAACCACCAATGACTGCTCTGACCGGCATCACAACAGAGGGTCCCAGACAGAGCCGGAAGATGTAGAACAAAATTCTAACACACATAGAAAAAGACCAGATTTACTGGCCTGATAGAGACTGGAGAAACTCCAAGAGTATGGCCCCTGGACACCCTTTTAGCTCAGTGGTGAAGTCACTTCCGAGGTAAACCGTTCAGCCGGGAATTGGACAGCCCCATAAAACAAAATGGGCTAATGAGGCACAGCAGTCCAGAGACAAGGAGTAGAAGGCAGAATGGGGCAGGAAAGCTGGTGATAGGGAACCCAAGGTTGAGTAAGGACAGTGTTGACATGTCGTGGGGTTGTTAACCATTGTCATAGGGCAACATGTGTACTGTTTAATGAGAAACTGTTTTGTTCTGTAAACCTTCATCTAAAGTGAGAATAACAGCACAACTGGAAGAATGTAATCAATGTCACTGAATTGTGCATGTAGAAATTTTCGAAATGGTGTATCTTTGGCTATGTAGATTTTCACCAAAAAAAAAAAAAAGGGGGTCAAGAAGGGGAAGTGTTGACATGTTGTGGGCTTGTTAACCAATGTCATAAAACAATATGTGTACTGACTGTTTAATGAGAAACTATTTGTTCTGTAAACCTTCGCCTAAAGTACAATAAAAACAAAAGAATATTAAAAAAAAAAATCTTATGGCCTAAGTTTTAATATATTTGCAGGTGGCAAGCAATGATTCATGGGAGTTGGAAAGATATGAATTGTGTAAAAGTTAGATGGGGTTACTTTATATTAATTTCTCTTCTTGAATCAGCATTTTGGCTGGCTCATGGCAGATTACATTAAAGGTGAAATTACTAGAGCAGGAGGACTGTATCATAAAAAGTATGTGCCCAGTTGCATGAGCAGGCATCCCGTCCTCTGCTTATCAATGTTGTTGTTGTTAGTTGCCGTCGAGCTGACCCCCACTCATGGTGACTCCATGTGTGCAGAGTAGAATTCCTCCATATGGTTTTCAAAGCTGTGACCTTTTTGAAGCAGATCATCAGACCTGTCTTGCAAGGAGCCTCTCGGTGGGTTCAAATTGCCAACCTGTCAGTTAGTAGTTGAGTGCTTAACTGTTTGCGCTACCCAGGGAATCCAGCTTATCAAGGTAGGGAGGGTCATTATGACTGAGTGGAAAGTTCCCCACTATTACATTCATCCCTAGTCTCCCTTTGAGCTAGAAGCTCCCAGCCTCTGAACAGATCTAGACTATACACATAAAGGTGATGCATAACCAGAGAACCCAGCCCTTTCTATATTTATAGACACAGAACATATTAATTAATCTTCTTCCCAAGGACAATACCATCCGCAATTGCTGATATGCAGAAGAGGCAAAGTATATGAGATGGGTGTGAGATGTCCCAGAATACTACTTCAAATTTCCCCATAACTAGCCGACCCACTGAAAAGTAAAAACAGTTCAAGAAGGGCATTTAATATCTCATTCAACAGAAGGTAGGTGTGTCCCTACCCTGTGGTGAGGAATTTGTGGATGGCAGCCCCCATGCTACCACACAACACCTTTGGTGCCAACCTAAAGCCCAAGTCCCAGTCACATAAGGCTACAAGGAGTGACCTAGTTAAAATTCCTGTTTAAAAAAAAAGTAAAAATTTCTGCTTTGAAAATTACCTTTAAATTTTAGGAAAATTTTAGCAAAATTACAGTAGGATAAGCATCAATCCTCAGGACCAAAATACCTGTATCAAAATACTATGTTTTTAATTTAAAACACTGACTAAGAAATGATTGTTATCGTCCCTACAAATTGCTAAAGACAAGTCAGGAGCTGTTCTTATAAAGTGAAAAGAAAAAAAAAAAAATTGCCGTCAACTCAATTCTGACTCATAGTGACTCTATATAAAATAAATAAATAAATAAATACCTCCAACTAGCACTCTGACTGGGAAGTCAGTTTGGTCAAAGAACTGCCCACTGATTGTTAGTGTAGTGCCACCTTGAATGCTTCCACGTGAAGGTGAAATCGTAGTGACCTCTAGGGAGAAAAGCACATGAAATAAAATGCCATGAATATTACACACAAATCCAAACGCTTGATTTTTAAAAAAAATTTCCACATTACCTAGAACCTAGAACAGCGTAGATATTGAATTACTGAATGAAATGAATTAGGTGTTTCATTACTTTGTCTCTAATGCAATCCTCCAAAGAGGACAATAAATATGGCTTTCACCAAGATCTATATTTCCTGAGGACTAGGTTTCAGTGATGATTGGTACCAAAGAGACAGTGGTATTCGAAGGACTGAGGGAGTTAGAAATCCACAGCCTAAGTGTAGAAGTTTGGCTCTGAAAGAAAACATAGGAAAGCATGTAGAATAGCCTCTTCTGCCATCTGCTCCTGAAGAATGAATCTTTCTTGTATTTACGGACCAACATCTTTTTATATTTATATTTATCTCATAGTAATTCTAATGTATTATAGTAATACATTAACATAGATTGGACTTCTCATGATTTTGTATACAAAATTTTAGGTTCAGTGTATTCTTATATACATATATTTTACATATGAGTTCTCATATTCAATTAATTTCTAGAAAACGCCAAATTATATCACATTTCACTGATTTCAAGACACCTGTTATTTTACATTTTTAAAATCTGAATATATCCTGACCTAAAATGAAGTACAATTCTTCCTGGAGAATTTGTGTTTGTTTCAGAAACTCCTGGGAGTGTATCAACCTGAGAATTTTTTAAATTAAATTATATTATATCTGCCTCAGAATTCTTTTGGATCACACTGAGAGCGTAAATTCAGGCCTCAAATCAGAGACAATACTGGCTTGTGGTTTAAATTAAGGGGAGATTTCTATTCCTCCCTCCACCCACAAACAAAGTTGAGACATGCAAGTTTCCTTGTTGTCTCTTTTAGTGTGTCAAGTTTATTTCTCCATCAGGTTTACACAGAAGTGTAGTTTCTGGGGTCTTAGCTTAATGCTAGGGTTTCCTATAATTATTTCCTACAGTCATACTTTACAACCATTATTGTCCTAGATTTAATGAAATGAAGTATACACCTCTCTCTCACACACTCTCTTATATACACATACACAATAGAGAGAGAAAGGCCACATACCTGCATATGTATGAAACATTGAAATTTTATTGAGAGACGAAACAAAATATGTTGTTTTCTGTGGTAAACTCCTGTTAATAAAAAAAGAAAGTCAAAATCCCTGCTTTAAAAATGACCTTTAAGTTTTAGAAAAAAGGTCTCCAAAATACAACAAACTTTAACAGCACTGAAAAGAGAAACTGACATTTCTACTATAATAGTAGGAGACTTCAATACATCACTCTTGGTAAAGGACAGAACATCTAGAAGAAGCTCAACAAAGAAGGAGAAGATCTAAAAGCCACAGTGAGCCAACTTGAACTCATACACATATATAGAACACTCCACCAACAGCTGCAAAGCACACATTCTTTTCCAACACATATGGAACTTTCTCCAGAATAGACCATGTCTTAGGCCACAAAGCAAGCCTCAACAAAATCCAAAACATTGAGATAATACAAAATAACCTCTCTGATCACAATGCCATCAAAGCAGAAGTTAACAACAGGAAGAGCAAGGAAAAAAATTCAATTACATGGAAACTAAATAATACCCTGCTTAAAAACCACTGGGTAATAAAAGAAATCAAAGATGGAATCAAAATATTCCTAGAATCAAATGAGAAAGAAAACACATCATACCAAAACCTTTGGGACACAGCAAAGGCAGTGCTCAGAGGTCAATTTATAGCAACAGATGCACACATCAAAAAAGAAGAGACAAATTCAAAACATTAGCGACACAACTGGAACAAATAGAAATAGAACAGCAAAAGAAGCTTACAGCCATGAAAAGAAAGGAAATAATAAAGATCAGAGCAGAAATACATGAAACAGAGAATAGAAAAACAATAGAAAGAATCAACAAAACCAAAAGTTGGTTCTTTGAAAAGATCCACAAAATTGACAAACCACTAGCCAAACTGACAAAAGACAAACAAGAGAGGATGCAAATAACCCAAATAAGAAATGAAATGGGGGACATTACAACAGACCCAACTGAAATAAAAAGGATCAAAACAGAGTATTATGAAAAACTATACCCCAACAAATTTGAAAATCTAGATGATATGGACAAATTTCTAGAAAAACACTACCTACCCAAACTATCACAAATTGATGTTGAATCTCAACAGATGCATATCAAGAGAAAAGACTGAAAAGGTAATAAACGAACTACCACCCTCAAAAAAAGGCTCTGGCCCAGGTGGCTTCACTGGAGAATTCTACCAAACATTCAGAGAAGAGCTTATACCAGTACTACTCAAATTAATTTAGAACATAGAAAAGAAAGGGATACTTCCAAATTCATTCTATGAAGCCAACATAACCCTGAAACCAAAACCAGGCAAAGACATCACAAAAAAAGAAAATTACAGACCAATATCTCTCATGAATATAGACGCAAAAATTCTCAACAAAATTCTACCTGATAGAATTTAGCATCATATCAAAAAAATAATACACCATGACCAACTAGGATTCATACCAGCTATGCAAGGATGGTTCAACATTAGAAAATCAATCAACATAATCCACTACATAAATAAAAGGAAAAAAAAGAATCATATGATCATCTTAACTGACGCAGAAAAAGCATTTGACAAAGTCCAACACCCAGTCCTGGTAAAAATTCTCAATAAAATAGATATAAAAGGGTAATTCCTCAACCTAATAAAGGGTATCTATACAAAACCAACAGCCAACATCATTCTTTTTTTTTTTTTTTTAATATTTTATTGTACTTCAGGTGAAGGCTTACAGAACAGATAGTTTCTCATGTAACAGTC